TTATTTCATGTTATTTTATTTTATTTTATTTTATTTTATTTTATTTTAAGTGGTTAGATTCGATTTGATTGGTTCTATTTTACTTTATTTTGTAGGATTTGACTTTATTTTATTTTACTTTTTATTCTGTGATTTTTTAAAATATAATTTTTTAAAGTTGATTTTATTTTATGTGATTCAATTTTATGCGATTATATTCTGTTTTATTTTATCTTATTATATTTTATTCTAGGTGATTTTATTTTATTTAATGCGATTTTATTTTATTATATATTGTGTGGTTTTATTAGAAAATTGTATTAATTGTTTTCCTGTCAATATTATTATTATTAAAATTTACTATTGTTATTATTAATATCATTATTATTCCTCTTATTTATTATCATTATTAGTAGTAGCAGTATAATTCTTCTTCTTCTTCTTACTTATTTTTTCTTTTATCATTATCATTGTTCCTCTTCAGAACCAATGGGTATGTGTGTGCCCCCGGACCTGACAGTGGGGGCCAAGGCTGTGTGTGCCGACGGCTACTGGTGTAACCAGGGACAGTGTCGCCCCCTGCTGGGATAGATCTACTACAGTTTGTGAGTGTGTGTGTGTGTGTGTGTGTGTGTGTGTGTGTGTGTGTGTGTGTGTGGTCTAGTCTAACTTCTGTGATAGAATGTCTAGCAGCTGTGTCGATGCAGGGCCTACTATTTGTACCTCAGTGAACAAGTTTGGGTTTTGTTCCTTTTAGTTGAGAGTTTTAATCCGTGGTAGGAGTTGCTTGTTAAATCTACGTCTAAATACATGTTGAAAAAAGAAAGAAAATAATATATATATATCATCTGAAAATTGACACTTAGGTTAGATTTGCAGATTTCCAATTGGTGCCGTTTTCTTAAAGTTTAACTTGTCTTTTATTATTTCAAACTCAAACTAATAAATATCTAAATTGTTCTAATTCCACCTTTGAATTTACGACCAATCTATCCCCACAGGGGGGAAAGCCGTCAAAAGTCACACATGATATCCTCTCTTCCCTCAGACTGGCAGAGAGGCCTCCACAGAGGAACGGCTCAACTGTGGACTCCACCAAACAGTTTCTGATGTTTCCCCATCGCTGAGCACCGCACACTACTGAGGAAGAACTGCCGCTGTCATCTTGATACTTCATCAATGTATATTTAAACTTCTCAGTCTAAGATTCCAGCATACGTACCCTATCCAAATGGCGTATTATTTATGGCAGTCTTACAACATTATACTAGCTGGGCCCCCTTTCCATGAAAGGAATGATCGGTGCATTAACATCAACTGAAAGTGCTATATTTACACTCAACTGGAATGGAGCAATAAATCTTGGGAGATGCAAAAAATTAGATGGTCTAGATCTAGAGATTTATACTCTCAAAACAAAATGCGCCTCGCGAAATATCACTTCCGGCACTTCCGTTGTGAAGGACAGCTACGCAGATTTGTTTCGTTTCTCTATGGAATAATCACAAAGGCCAAAGAAGGACTTTCTAATAAATTTTTCCAAATTCAGGAAATGAATAAATAAAAAATTGGGCTCTGTTATGGGGACCAATGTATCATTTTGCAGGTACACATGTACTTGCCAACTTTCAACTCTGTAGCTGTCCAAGTTTTATGGGAAAAGTGACACATGTGTTTTTAAGTTGCCAAATATAGAATAAATATGGGCCATCAGTTTGAATGAAAATAATTCAAATAAATCAATAAAGATCTATTTCAAATATGCGTTTAACTCAATCTGTTGTTGTAAGGGAGGGGGGGGGGGGGGGAGTCCTGAACACCTTTTATATGTGGAGATTTTTCTTTTTTAAAGAAACTGGTTGATCAAAGGCAAATGTGCAGTCTCCACGGCCCCTCAAGCTGTGTGACACTTCGTCATCCAACTTGGGAGACCACAATGTCCTCACTACTTTACCTCTCCACCAGGGACTCCCATCTCTTTCAATCCCTGATACCTGCACTTTTCTTCAAGACAGATGGGTATTTTTTAAATAACAAAAGCAAGAAAAAAGGAACAAGTCTGAACATAATGCATGTCCCAAAAACTCCAAATGCCCCAAACTTGACAAGTGCCCGATTCCACCGCGTCGGTGGCCTGGTGATTACACTCTCAGATTGGCAACGTAAGGTTGAGGGTTCAAATCTCACCAGGATCCTGAACTTGTGTCCTTGGGAAAGGCACTTCACACAATTTCTATCCCTTCCCCCAGGTGGGAATGTGTGGCCAGCTAGAAATAGTGAAAGCTTTGGTCAGTTTGTCGTCGGTAAATGTTCATGTTTTAGCAATCTGAAAACAGACAAAATTACAAAAAACAAAACAAAACCAGTTGAGTTTTTGTAACATTTTTACGTCGCCCGCAACTGCATAAGGGCAAGGGCTTCCTCTGCTCACCTCTCATAAACCAGACACACAAAATAACAACAAAAAGAGACACACAAATTTTAAAAAAACAACCCCCTGAACAGATGCGCACAAATTAACAAAAACTAAAATCAGACACAAAATAACAGAAAACCCCCCGAAATAACAGACAGCAAAAACAGACACACAAAATAACAACAAAACAAGCCAAAAACAGACACACACACAAAAAACCAACCAGACGCACAAAATGCCCAAAAAACCTAAATCAGATACAAAAACAACTTTTAAAAAACCCAAAAATAAAAGGCACAAAATGAAAAAGCAGCAAAAACAGACTGCAAAATAAAAACAAATCAAAAAGAGACGCATAAAATAAAAAAAACCTAAATCAGACCAAAACAAAAACAAAAACAAACAAACAAACAAACAAGACAGACACATCAAATAACCAAAACATCTAAAAGAGACACACAAAATAAACAAACCCCAAAAAGGAAATAACAAAAAACCCAAACAGACACACAATAAAACAAACAAACAAACACACAATAAAACAAACAAACAAACACACAATAAAACAAACAAACAAACACACAATAAAACAAACAAACAAACACACAATATAACAACAACAAAAACCCCACAACAAATACAGACACAGAAAACAACAACAACAACAACAAACACACCCACAAATTTACAAAAAAACAAACAGATACACAAAATTATTTTAAAAAACAGAAAAAAGGACACACACAAAACACCCCCCCCCCCCCCCCAAAAAAAAAATAATCAAACAACAAAAACAAACAAACCCAAACCAACCCAGACATACAAAATATCCACAATCTCCCCAAATCTCCCCCCCCCCAAAAGAGGCACACAAAAAGACACAAAATAACAAAACAGACAAACAAAATAAAATAAAAAACCCAGCAAAAACAGACACACAAAACAACAAACCAAAAACAGACACACAAAATAAACACACACAAAAACAGACACAAAAAGTGAAAAAACACTCAAAATAATAAAAAACAAAACAAAAAGAGACTAAATAAAAAAACAACCAAAAACAGACACAGAAAATAACAAAGCAAAGCAGTGTTTTTATTTATTTTGGTATTTTTCAAATGCAATGATTCAATTCTGACTTACAAAGTCAAGTGCATTAAAAAAAACAAAAAACAAAAACGCACTTGTTTTTTTTTTCTCCAGCAAATTTCGGCCATCCGCAAAAACTGTCATGCACATGTAAGAATCATATTCTACAGACCAGAAGACGTCCTAATCGTTTCCAAACAAAGGACAGACAGAAGGAGATACATGCACAGATAGTCTTGTCTACAACAACTTTGCGACAAGCGGTGAGATGAGATAACGATGATGGGTGGGAGGGGAAAATTACCGTCAAAGCTCATGTCTGCTTGCCACTGACTCCACCCATGGCAGTTGCAAGATTAAAAAACAATAAAATATTTCACTTCAAATATTCCCCCGCCACAAGAATCAAACCCGTGTCTTCTACGTGCGGTGGTTAAGTGTGAGAATCTCGCCCCACCACCCACGCCAGGGACACCAATCTAGGGACTAGGACGGCCACAGAAAACATTGCCAGAATGGCTGTGACAAGAACCAGCAGACCCCACCAAAACAACATCGGGTGTGTGCGTGTGTGTGTGTGTGTGTGTGTGTGTGTGTGTGTGTGTGTGTGTGTGTTCTACCCTTGTTTTCCGATTAAAAGCAAGTTTTGTTTAGGAAGACTCCACCGAATTTCCAAAGTAAGAGGACATCAGTTTCTATAAATAACCTCCCCCCTCTCCAAAGTAAGAGGACATCAGTTTCTATAAATAACCTCCCC